AGAGGCCAGAAAGAGGGAAAAGTGGGCCATAGCACCGTTGTTGATCCGAGCTGTTATCAGACAAGCAAGGTCACACAGAGCTACGCACTTTCACATCGCTATGGAGATGTGAGAGGAGAAGTTAGATGCAGAGAGGAGGGGCACATGTCAGGAGAGACAGTTTTCTGATCATCGCCTTTATCTGCTCCTTATCTCCACAGAAAAGCCAAGATTTGGAACCACTCCTTTCTGGTATTTTTCAGAAATGGTCCACAGTGCTCCTTTTGCCTTGGTACCTGCTCTGTGGCATGTTCTCTATATGTATAGATGCATGTGGTTTGATTCCCTCCTTTTCTCTTTGTGATACTAACATGGTGCTGTACCAGGTGACTCATCTTTTCTGCTCTTTTTCTTCCTTGCCTCTGTCAACTGCTGGCCGTTTTGCTATGCCCCTTCACCACCACCAGCTCAGGGGCTACTACTTTTGTCTCTGAGGACTCTGCTTTGCGTATTGCTGAGGCTGATGAACTGCTTCACAAGTAAGATCACGGGGGTAGGACTGCATCTCCTGAATGCTGGGATTTAGGGCGGGGGACTGGACTAAGTGCCACTTCCATTTGACATTTGTGTGGGATGGCTTCCTCTGGCCTGAAATACTGATCCTAGAAACTTCAGTCAACATCATTCCCTGTTGTGTAATTTTACCTCTAGAAAGTACTCTCCCAATGGAATGGTTGGGAAGAAATTGGCCACACCTGCATAGTAGATAACAATGTATGAGCTGAAGGAATTAACAGGATGGTCTTGATATCTTAGATCAGGCATGTCAAACTCACGACGTCACATGACGTCGCGCAACATATCGGGCCTGTTTTGCCATTGCTGGCAATGGGGTGGGCGTGGCTTCCACGTGATGCGTCCGGCCCATGGGCCGGCAGTTTGACACCCCTGTCTTAGATAGTCAGAGGAAGGGATGAATGGCTATGTATCGAAATTGGTAAATGTGGGGAAAGTGGCTGGCATCCCCAGCTGAAATGACATGCACGTTTACAAATAATGGGTAGTGTCTGCCTGCCTCTAACCAAACCTCCATGAACTACTGCAGGTTTGTGTGTAAGAATAATGGGGTGCTCTTTGAGAACCAGCTGCTGCAAATTGGGGTGAAGTCAGAATTCCGGCAGAACTTAGGTAAGTATTTCTAGCAGGCTGAGTACAACAGGCAAGTTGGGACTTGTTCAAGACTCTGAACAGCTACATACTGTGTTCCTACATGAGGACAACTTTCTTTGTTTTTTTTTTAAAGAACTGAATACATTGTGACAAGAAAGGGTCTTTTTTGAGTTGAAGACTGGAAGACATGTTGTAGGATTAGGTCAGGGGTCTTCAAACTTGGCCCTTTTATGACTTGTGGACTTCAACTCCCAGAATTCCTCAGCCAGCGTGCTTGGCTGAGGAATTCTGGGAGTTGAAGTCCACAAGTCATAAAAGGGCCAAGTTTGAAGACCCCTGGATTAGTTAGATGATATTTAAGTTATGTGCTCTTGGCTACTTTCCTTTGTAACCAGTGGCAAGCTTGCCTGACCAATAACCAGCCAAGACACAGTTAAGACCTCCTTGTTTCGTTTATTGCAACAAACAGGGAGAAAAGCTATCAAAACTTGGTTCTCTCCAAAGTTTATCATCTCAAATCAACATCTTTGTACATTCCTTGCACCGGCCGCCCATCCCTCCTCGTTCCCCATTGGCTGAGATACTATGAGGTTACACTCTTTCTGACTGCCTTCTACATATTTCCTTCTACATATTCAATCATACATCACATGTGCATTTAAATTAAGAGATAATATATGCAAGGTGTGTCAAATAATATTCAGTAGGATTTTGAGCATGCCCTGTTACCTTGTTTTCGAGTTCTGGGATATTTTATGGCTTCTTAGAACAATAGATTCTTTCTTGTTTTTCAGTTCAGTTTGGCTTTCCTGTTATTCAATTCAGCTAGTTTTCCTGTTATCCAATTCTTTTAGCTTTGGCTTTCCTATTTTTCAGTTTGTTTTGTTTTACCTTTAAGCTAGATATTTCCTCTTGCAGTTATTTCCTCTTGCACCTAATTCCTCTTACAATTTTAAATTTTAAAGACCTTTCACTTAATCCTATCAATGTTGTAGGGTTATATGTACTGGTCTCACCATAACATTTCTGTGAGGAGCCAGTATGATGTGGACTAGTTTTAGGATACCCAGTTCCTAGTCCCCACTCAGCCATGAAGCTCACGGCTGACTTTGGAATTGTTACATTATCTGAATCTAATATGGGCTTCTTGGATATAAATGTAACAAAAGAAAATCTTCTGTATTGGCTGTAGTTGTCTCTTCTGGGTTAGTCCTGTAAGGTCTGTCTGTCTGTCTGTCTATCTAATGTATATGGCTGCCCATCTCATGTGACTCTGGGAGACATACACAATTAAAACTAACCATCACAAAGTTCAACCATTAAAACCAGTTAAAAACTACAGTTAAAAGCTGCAATAATAAAAAGACAAGGGAGAGTGCAGCCTAAACTTATACACAGTGCAACCATTTAATGGGCTCCACATTTCCATGGGATCCCCAAGCCCAATGATACATCCAAGTTTTGAGAGCCTTACGTAAGATGAGCAGGGTTGGGGCCTATCTCACCTCAGGGTGAAATGATGTTCCAGTGGGTGGGTGCCATGGCAGAAAAGTTTTTCTTTCTGGATCCTGCCAAATGAAGCTCCTTGGCTGATGGGACCTACAGCATGCCCCTTCTGTCAGACCTGATGGGATGGGTAGATTAATTGGAGAGAGTCAGTCCCCTAATACTTCTAAGCACCCCAGTATTTATTGTTTTTTATTTTTACTTTTTTCTATACTGTGTTTTTATTGTTTGTAAGCCGCCTAGAGTCACTGTGAGCAAGTAGCCAGCTATATACATTTTTTAAATCAATAAATATTTCCCCATTATAAAAAGGTACAGTGGCTCCTTGCCCATTGCTAGATCTGGCCTGGTCTTTGCAGCCCTTCTACAGCCTCTACAAAGGTACCCTATCTTGTTTCAAAAAACAATGTTTTTTTAAATCAACACTATTGTGTGATACTTTATCAGACATTTCACTTACAGTCCACTAATGACAGGAAGGTTTTCTATTCTGCATGTGATATTTTGACTGCAAAGCAGCTTTCTGGCTATTAACGTTGTGACTACCCATTACCTGCATAAACACACTTAATCAATAATGGGTTAATGTCAGGCAGAAAGAATCAGGACCATAGGTTAAGTTGCAGTTCAGAAGATTTATTGCTCAAGCCTGTACACAAGAATCTAGTCAACTAAAGTTCAACACTAAATTGGCGCCAGGTAAGGGTCAATGGAAGTCAAGAGGGGTTGGACTTAGACTGTTTGTGGGAACATAACAACTCTAGGCTGATTCTAATTCTGTCCCCCAGCTCTAGCTGCTCTTCTCCTACAGTTAATACTGAATTAACTCATTTTGGCAGGGATTTGTACAATATATTGAACAGGAACCAAACAGGCTGGTTCATACGATCCACAAAGGCACAAGAAGCAAAAATGAATGAAGCCTAGTAGCATTCTAAGCTTTTTGTGACTTAGTGGATTGTGTGTATCCATAGTCTTTAACTGTACTGGTTCTGCATATTGTGTGGACCCAGAAATTGTGCAGATTGCAATTGAAAAAAGAAAATAAAACTTTGCCTAAATTTCATAATCTTTAGCAAGAGAGAGAGTAAGTGGGGGAAAGAACTGACAAATAGGAATGACAATATAGCACAAAGAGAGAGGGTGGGGAAGATGGCAGACTCCTAGTTTGGATGGATTGCGAGGAGGATATATTCTTTCCAGTTAACACCAGCCAGATATGACTGAATTCACAAATTAGATAAACTGTAATATAGTTTGTGTGATTTACTTGAATTAACCTAGTCATTTTGATTGGTAAATTACAGTTTATCATTGAGGACAGCAATCAGCTATCTTTGATGGCACCAAAGTAATAAACTTTAATAATTGTTAAAATTTCTATGGAGATTTAATAATGGTTAAAATCTCAGAATAATGAGATTTTTTGGTAAAATGTTAGTAGTCCCTTAAAATCATACCGTCTTATTTAATTTTTTAAATTTACTTTGCTTTGGGGGTTCGCTTATTGATAGGAATAACAGCTTCTAATATTTGGTTTTTAATTTGGTTTTATAGGGGTCTATATTTTTTGTATTTTGTATTTGTACTTGTTTTAATATGCTGTGCACCGCCCTGAGTCCTGCGGGAGAAGGGCGGTATATAAATTAAATTATTATTATTATTATTATTATTATTATTATTATTATTATTATTATTATTATTATTATTATTATTATTATTATTATTATTATTATTATTATTATTATTATAGGCACTGCAGTACCAACTGCAGACTTGTGTACTGTCTGAATTCAGGCACTTATGATTAAATAAACCATTGGCATAATGCAAGAAAGTATGGGCCAAGGCTATCCCATAATACATTTCCATCCTTCCAGGCCGTATATACCTTTTCTATGGGAACAAAACATCTGTCCAGTTCCAGAGTTTCTCCCCAACAGTCAGCTATCTTGGCGACCTGCAGAGCCATATCCTTTTATGTATGGTGCTACTAGTGGGAAGAAGGGTTCACTGAGGTGGCTTTCAAGCCCTCAGGATTTCTGTTTGTATACTGCTGAGAAACAGTGGTAACCTTTTCCTTAGCCCAGCTCACAGCTCAACATTCAGACAAAAGCAGTGGAGCCACTGGTGGAGGGAGGGGCTCAGGTTCAACAGGTCCTGAACATTGAATGCCTGAGTGATTTCACCGAGAGCCCCCTCATCAACATTAAATTCCGGTATCATTGCTTGACATCTCAGCCAAACCGTCAGCTCTAAGGGATAAAGAGTTTCTATATTTGAGTAATCAAGGGGATTTCAAAGTGGCTACAGTCGGAGCCTACATAGCCACCTATGTCCTTGCACAGATGATGGGTATACTGAAGAGTCAGAATCTGTTTGAAAAGCTGGAGAGGCTGGGACTCTAACGTTCAGAATTATGGGCAAAATTGAACAAGCAGTACTTCCTGTAATCAATTCTTTGCATCTTAATCTTTGTCTTGACATGCATTTGCTTTGCTTCATCCCTGTTCTCCCACATTTCCATGAGTTGTGTTTTGTAAAATTCCATCAGCCATGAATTTGTTGTTGTCTTACACCATACCTCTTCTAATTCTTACAAAATATACTCAGATTGGTTAATATTCCAGGAAGCCCCCAACAGGAAACAAGCCCACGAACCTGCTTCCACTCTTGAAGTCAGGGGCCTCTGATCCTAGGAAATGGGACATGGCCATTAGTTAACAATAACCTCATTCTTCTTGCTTTTATCCCCCTTTTAAAGTTGTCAATAATCTTATTAAATAATGCCATCTCATGGATCTGTCTGTCCTCACGTCTCATTTCTGATAGCTATGGTGGGACATTGCAGAATCTCACTCTCAAATTGCCTATCACCATCAACAAGTTTTTCCAGGCAACAGAGATGCAGTCACAAGACTTTTTCCAGCGCTGGAAACAACTCAGCTTGTAAGTTTGCACAATATGAAATATTTGGAAATGAGGACTCATAAATGATCATTTGTATATAGGTAGTCCTTGACTTATGACCGTAATGGAGCCTGCCCATTATGGTTGCAAGTGGTGATGGCTGTTAAGTGAGATGATCTTGCTTATCAACCCCCTGCTCTCCCTGATAAGGCCATTAAACAAATGTGCAGGTTGTTCAGTGGGTCCCTTGGGGGTGAGTGAGGACCTGGGAGACCGAGCGCAGGCCCAGGCCTGCTTGCCCTGGGCCTCTCAAGGCCTCCCCCATTCCCTGAGACACACCCCATGCTCTGCTACCCACCCTTGGGACCACCACATCCCTTGGGCCTGCTTTCCCTCCCCCCACTGGGTTCCCACAGGCCTTTTTTGCCCCAAATAAGGTCCCCACAGGACTCCCCCCCCACCAGATCCCTGTAGGCCTCCCCCTCCCCCCACTGGACTGGAAAGTCTGCAGCACTGTGGAGACCATATTAGGAAAGCAGAACAGATAGCTTTGTCGGGTAGCCGTGTGGCATGATTCTAGAAGCAGCCACCATTTTCCAAGCAACTAGAATTTAATGGGCCCACTTAGAAAATGGCTGCTTCTGGACTCTCACCAAGCAACCGGTCATTAAGTAAGGACTTCCTGCATTTGTGAGAGGAGACAGGTGGGTTTGTTTTTTTAGGGGTGGGGTGGGGGGATATTTAGAACTGTCCAGCAGAATGATCAGTAAATAAGAATACACATGTCCTTGGCAAAGTGTTTTCTTTTTTGTACTTTTATCTTTGCCTTCTAAAATTGCCACAATGACTAAGTGAATGGTTCCACCACCACCACCATGTATGGCTGAGGTGTAGAAAGCATGTAACAGGAAGATGAATAACAGAAAGGTAGGGCCTGAATCACTTATCTGATATTCGTATGCAGGCCACAACAGGAAGCTCAGAAAATCTTCAAGGCAAACCACCCTATGGATTCAGAAGTGACAAAAGCAAAGGTGAGCTGTTTTGAAATGCCTATGAAAAAGAGTTGAAAGCTTTTGTTTATTTCAGGGTAATTAATGTGCAATTATTTTAATTTCAGATTAGAATATGTCTAGTAGTTGATCAGATGACTGAAGATCAAAGCTTTGGATCTTGTGATTGTCCAGGGCAATTATGGAATTCAATTGTTTAGCACTAGTTTGGGAATATCAGTGTAATATATTTAAGACTGTTGATTTCTTCATTTGAACACCAGATTTTTTTTCTTATGAAATATGGCATAACATCAAGCTAAAAAAGGCAGCCATTGCATAAAAGTCTGTGATGCAGACTTCTGAAACAGTTTTACAGGTATATCTTTCTCCCATTATTAGCTTTCTAAGAGGGGCATAATTTGAGACCCTCTCCAGTGGTTGTATAAGTCTAATTAAGCTCCAGTCTCTCCCCCCAACAGCTGTTAGGTTTTGGCAGTGCACTCTTGGAGAAGGTGGATCCAAACCCTGATAACTATGTAGGAGCTGGGATCATCCAGACAAAAGCATTGCAGGTTGGATGCTTGCTGCGACTGGAACCCAATGCTCAGGCACAGGTGAGGAAGTGAGGGCTCCTGAAACCTTTGGGACTGAAAGCTTGAATTCTGGCATACAGGTAGGCACTGAAGTAAAATCATAAAGATTGGAAAACTGAGACTTCTGGGTGCTCTAAGAAAGTGACAGGAAATATAGCTAAAACTGAAGGGGAAAAGCTGAAAGCTTACCAAAGCCCCAAACGTCCTGTGGTTAACTGAAGGGACATAATGTTTAAGCTCTTCTCTTTTAACCTTTCCTTCATCCTTCCTGCAGATGTACCGGCTGACCCTCCGTACCAGTAAGGAGTCTATTTCAAAGCACCTTTGTGAGCTGCTTTCTCAGCAGTTCTGAGGCATCTGCCACACCAGAGGAAAAGGAGGCCATTCCTGCACACTAGATGCCTCTGTCCATCTCATCCCAACTCTCTCCAAACCAGGGGCCTCCAGAAAGACTGTACTGCTCCTCACCTGTTGTTGTGATAACTTCTGTGTTCTCATTGCCTAGCCCAGGCCAGCATCAAGGGGGATAAGCAAAGGGGGAGCAAAAATATGGACTCTTGGACAAAGTCAAACTGGGGAGGGGGAGGTATGATGGGTGTTGGTGCAGGGCATTCTTCCAGTAGTAATCATCCCCTTGACCAAAAGGGCAAATTTTGGAAGAAAGCTAGCTTTTCTCCCATGCTCTAAGCTGGTCCATCCCAACTTGGAATGAGGCTGAAATCTGTGGTCTTAATTTCCCCCATCACCACTAATGTTATATGATTTAGGCTGGCATTTTAGTTTTGTTTACAGTATGTACCTTTACTTTCCCACCATGGACTTTTTCCTTTCTGCTGAGGAAAGGGACAGCTTCCCTGACTCCCCTTGAGGCTGGCTGTGGGGAAGGAACAGAATTATATGGGTCTATGGGGGGGGGGGGTAATTCTTGTAGGTGGTCGTTTTGTGTTTCTTTGCCTTGTGTGTTTTCCCCAGGGATGGGGATGTAAATTCCCCCTTTCCTTTGCTATGGATCATTCCAGTGTTACAGTTGTGTGTATTTGTGGGAAAGTAATTTTGACAGCAAACCTGCCTCTTTTCAACTCTAGAAGGAAAGCTACATGAAGATGGAGAGGAAAAGAGACTGTTTCTTTCATCTTCTGCCTCCCCTCACCATCTCTTCAATTCCCAGGACAGGGTGCCTCAAGCAAGTGGAAGTGTTTGGGAGATGGACTCTGGAATGTTGTCCTCCATGCATTTTGGAAAAGGGAGAGGAATGGTTCAGATCATGCTAGTTTGGAGGTGTCCCAGCTTCACATGCTGGCCTGGGCTTCATGTTACTCTGCTGTGTAGATGTTAACTAGCGCATCTTAGTTTATCTGGGTTTTGAATGCCTGTATCTATCTCCATGTGACTAATAAAACCGTGAGGGTGAGGGCGAGCCAGAATCAAGCCAGGCTGGGTCACCCCCACACTGCTGATTGATTTGTTGCATACTCTTTATATGTGGACATGGTGGAAATGGATAAAGAGTCCCATGCTATGTACTATATTTTCACAGTGTGCCTGGCCGTAGCATTTACATTAGAATGTTCAGCTAATTTGTATGGAATTAGTTACATATAAACTTAAGACCTGAGCCCCACTAGACCAAAATCTTGTCCCAGGACTGCTTTCCCCATGCAGTGACAAGCATTGTCGCTTACTCTGTCTTCCTTTGTACAGAGAAAGGCAAATATGTACTGTATGCAGAAGAAAAGAATGTCTTCCTCACTTGGTGGTCCTCGCTTATAAACCTCTTGTTCAGTGACCACTGAAACTTAAAATGACACTGAATAAGTGGTACTCATGACTGGTCCTCCTACTTGCAATGTTGCAGTGTCCTGCAGTCATGTGATTGCCATTTGTGATGACCTTTGCCAGCTTCCTACAAGCAAAGTCAATGGGGAAGCCAGCAGGAGGTCACAAGTGTGGCAAGAGAGTGGAAGATATCACTCCAATCTTTCCAGTTATGTTCCTCCTAGGTATAGAAAGCACAGTCTGCAAAATTCCACTTTCTTATTACTTTGCCCTTTGAGATCTCCAACAGCTAAGGGCAACATAGACAGTGTCTTTGTCATGATCAAAGTCTTTGGGGAAAAATTACCTACCATTCACTATGGTGACTCTCTCCCCCCTCCCATCCCCTTCAGTGTCCTTAGATGCAAATGAGAGTCTCTGTGCTACATCTGGACTCTTGGCTTGGTTGGCTTAACTCCCTCAAAACTCATGAGAACTTTTTAAGGTATGTAGACTGAAATGGCCGTACTCAATATAGTTTTTATTACATAGTAAAGAAAAAAATACTTGTATATGATCAAGGCTCTTTGCATGTCCTAATGAAAAAATGACAGAAGCAAATGCATAGTGTATAAACAGCTGGCTATAAATGAGGGGGCAGTACCAATTTCAGTTAACATCAACTCTCTTCCCCCTCCCTCACTGATTCACACACAGAGCTGCCTTCTGTTTATAGGTGAATGCATGAGAGCTAGTTCCTATGCAGAAATGTATTTAAAAGGAAAAATTGGTTCAATAGCTCTAATTCTGTTACAGCTTCCTTACTTATTTATATCCTGCTTTTATTATTTTTATAAATAACTCAAGATGGCAAACTTGCATAATACTTCCTCCTCTTTTCCTCACAACCACCACCCTGTGAGGTGGGTTGGGCTGAGAGTGTGACTGGCTCAAGGTCATTCAGCTGGCTTTCATGCCTAAGGCAGGACTAGAACTCACTGTTTCCTGGGTTCTAGCCTGGTGCCTTAACTACTAGGCCAAACTGGCTCTCAAGATTAATTGCTGAATTCTACATAATAGCAATAGCAATAGCACTTAGACTTATATACTGCTTCATAGTGCTTTATAGCCCTCTCTAAGCTGTTTACAGAATCAGCGTATTGCCCCCAATGATCTGGGTCCTCATTTTACTGACCTTGGAAGGTTAGAAGGCTGAGTCAACCTTGAGCCAGTCAGGATCGAACTGCTGGCAGTCGGCAGAATTACCCTGCAGTACTGCATTCTAACCACTGCACCACCACGGCTATAATCACATCATGGCTGTGGATAAGACTGGCCCAAGCGCCTTTCTTAGTGCATAATGTGTACTAAGTTATAGGAGACAGAATTATGTTAGTGCATAATGTGCATTAAGTTATGGGAGACAAAATTCTTACCAATGTTATTAAACAAATGGAGAGTAGAGACCAAAGATAAAACTAGTCATCACCTACAGCCATTGTTAGCTGTACTGCTTCCTACTTACATAAGAGGATGGAAGGAGAATGAAATTGCGTTGAATCATTAACTTTATCCTGTTTCTGAAAGCACTTCCATAGATTCAGACTCCTTCCCTGCAGCCTAATCATCATTTGAATAGAGAAAATTTCATCACATTTGGTTGAAAAAATCATTCTAACCATACTGAGGGGTTCTAGCTCACCACCCCGAATTTCATCACAGAGTTCAACAAGATATCTCAAAAAGCAAAATTGTCAGTTGTGAGAGCCTGTAGCCTTTAGGTTGCTAAGGTTCGTAAAGCAAAGGTAGGCACATCTGACTTCAAGATTAGGAAGAGCTGGTGCTGCCTCCCATGGATAAGAGGCTTTGTGTGTAGTAACCATATAACAGAGCTGAGGACAGTGGGAGAAACCAATATGAAAGTCCTCCTGCAGAGGGACTGGAGAAAAGACAGTATGATTATGTTCAGTAGGAATCTCTCAGGTTTGGTATAAATGCTCCAAGGAAATGCAACAAAAAGATCAACTGGGGCATGTAGGTATTAATGCTGACTGCTGCTATTTACTGTAAAAAGGAAACAACCTTTCCCCTATTTTAGTTTATTAAAGAATATACAGTATATGGCCACAATACCAGGTGGTAGGGATCTAGCAGGGCCTCTGGCACTTGTCTCCAGCAGATCCAGCAGTGGTTGCCAAACCTCATTCACTAGCTATGGAAAGAAATAAAAACTTCAAGAGACATTTGGCCCCGACTCCACAGATGAACAGGCGTCTTCCTATTTATGTACCCTGTAGGCAACCCCCAGCACCCTGAAATCATACCATGGAAAGTCAACAGCAAATGGCCACTATTGTTGATTTTTGAGTTCTCTGGGCTTTAAATGGTGGGAGTGGGAGCAAAAGCCTCCATGAAATAAACTGATCCCATTCCTATCCTTAAAATCCCCCAAAGTCAAGTGAAAGATGTTATCACACCTCTCACCACCACCCCCAAAGTTGTTTGTGGGGCTGCATTGTGACCGTTAATCTGAAGTAGCTGCATGCTACTGACTTCAAGCATGTCTCCTTCATTAACTCCCCTGTGTAAATCAGCAATGGACAACAGATAGAGCAGTACATTTAGCCAATAGATGGATCAATTCCAAATGTACTTTAGGGAGGGGGTAATTGGAAGGGTGATAAACTGCTTTTTTCTATATAAAGAGATCAGACACATTTGAGATACAGCGCACTCACCTCATTAGCTAGTCATTGTAAGGAGGGATTAGGCCTACAGAGCGATACTGCTTCCAAATCAGGCCCAAGCTAAAAGGTCAGGAAACAGTGGGGAACAGGGAAAAATTAGAAATATGGACTTACACAGCCTCACTTCCTCCTCAAATCTGTAACCTGCTCATCATGGGACTACCTTGGGGAAGGTAAACAGATCACAGGAAGTGTGTGGAGGAAGGGTGTGTACAAGACACACCAGCAGCATTGCCTCTATGGCTGCAAGCTGCCACCACTGTTCAGTTACACATAAGACATGACCACCCACAAGCAGGCAACCAAACCAGGATTATCCTGCATAGACAAAGGCTTCTAAGCATTCCTGGATCAGGAAAGAACAAGACAGCACTAAGATTTGTCTGTATGTATGCACAAGTAATGGATACAAGTTAGAATAATTGAAAACATTGACAGAAAAGATTAAGAAGCCAGGCCGTGTTGTTATAAACTGTTCAGATGCAATGCTTAGTAAGTGGACAGTTCTTTCTACTTATATTATCTTTTATCCACTTCCACTTCTTTCCTCAGCTTTCCATTTATTTTCAAATTATCTTGATTAGTTTATTTTGGAAGGGGAAGAAAAATGTAAGCAAAACACTATTTCCTGCTAATGCTAGAAATCTAGGCAGTAGTTTTGGTAGACAAACCATTTATTTGCCTTGATAATACAAAGTAATTGTGGGACTTCCAGTTTGGTTTTGAGGACGGGACGGATGGAAGCTTCAGCTTCTCAGTCTGGTTTCGCTTTGCCCAGCATCCCTTAAAGGGATGGAAAGTTGCCCCAGAGGGGCAACGAAGAAAGAGGAACATTTCAGGAGCTTGGATCTGGTGGCGACCGATCTGAGTGAACTGGAAAACCCCTCTAAAGGGGTGGAAGAAAGGCTGCCGGGAGAGCCGAGGCAGCCCAAGTCGTCTCCAGCCGGAAGGGAAGCTCCGCAAAACAGCTGATCTTCAACAATGAGCTGAGTCTCGGTGAGCTGAAGTCTTTTCCTTCTCCTTGAGGATTAAAAACGTTGAGGCCCTGTGTTCTGTCCCCGTTCCGACCCACACACCCAAA